GTCCAGTTTCAGCCCCGGGGGATGGGGACCGTGCGCCGGGAGCTTGGCCAGTTTGGGGAGGGGGTGGCAGGCCGGCCCACAGGGTCCAAGAGGCCTTCCCTGGGGTGTCCTACCTTTCCAGTTCCTTGCGCTCTCAGGAGGCTCCGCCCTGCCCCACCTGGCCTGGAGGCTGACCCCAGAGCTGCAGCCCCAGGACGACGGGAGCCGGGAAATGAGGGTGGTGGCCGGCACACCTGGGGATTGGGGGTTCCCTTTCCTGGACCCACCAGGAGGTGGCCGAGAGCCCTGATTCCGGGAGGGAAGTGGTGAGGCAGGGCAACCCAGGTTTGGGGAACAAGGGAGGGCAGATGCAGGAGAGCAGCGCTGACAGGCGGAGGTTTTAGTGCCGGGAAGGTCTGGGCTCCCAGCAGGCCCGTGTGTCCCGCAGGATGGCGGAGGAGATAATCACGCCGGTGTACTGCACCGGCGTGTCAGCACAAGTGCAGAAGCAACGGGCCAAGGAGCTGGGCCTGGGCCGCCACGAGAACGCCATCAAGTACCTGGGTCAGGATTACGACCAGCTGCGGGCCCGATGCCTGCAGAGCGGGTCCCTCTTCCGCGATGAGGCCTTCCCGCCGGTGGCCCAGAGCCTGGGCTTCAAGGACCTAGGCCCCAACTCCTCCAAGACCTATGGCATCAAGTGGAAGCGCCCCACGGTGAGAAGGGCCACCTGGGTGGGCCTCAGCGGACCCCTGATCCCCGGCGAGGAGTGGGGATGAGACGCTGGGTCCTTGGTGGGGAGGGGGTTCCGGGTGGCTGAGCGCCAATCTCTGGGAGGGGCACCCCGGGGACAGGACTCTGGGTCTCTCGTAGGAGCTGCTGTCAAACCCCCAATTCATCGTGGATGGAGCTACCCGTACAGACATCTGCCAGGGAGCACTGGGTAGGGTCCCTGGGGTTGGGGTCCTGGGCGTTTTTCCCACAGTAGTTCCCCAGTTTCCGTTCCTTTAAGCCCTGCCCCAACTCCTCCTTCCCTCCAGCAAGCCCAGACAGGCTCTGGCTATCAGCACCGGGCTGGTTTGCCCAGATTCCTGGGTCTTTTCTGTAAGGCCAGGGGAGGCAAGGGACACCCCAGCCAGGGATCCCTGGGATCTCCCCAGGATGGGCACCCCGCCTCCAGACGGATTGGTACAGCAGGCTGACATGGGTCCCTCCCATCCCAGGGGACTGTTGGCTCCTGGCTGCCATCGCCTCCCTCACCCTCAATGACACCCTCCTGCATCGCGTGGTTCCCCACGGCCAGAGCTTCCAGAATGGCTACGCCGGCATCTTCCATTTCCAGGTGAAGGGCTCTGCATCTATTGGAGGAGGAGGGGTCGCAGGCTGTGGGGAGGGGATCCGGAAGGGTGACCCGCAGCATTCTGAAGTTAGGGAGGCCAAGGGCCACACCCTGCGGGGCCCAGCCCTCCCTCCGGCAGGTATTTGACCTCTCAGTGGCATCTCGGGTCTGTCATGTGTGAAACGGCTGGGCCGGGCAGG